GATAGCCAGGTCTTTCTTTAGCAGTGCCTTTGAACTTGAATCTGCAACCTTTTCATTACCCATCTGTACCACCCAGGGGCTCCTCTGCCTCCTATGTTGTTGCTGTTGTTGTGAGGTGCTATATAGTCGGTTTTTGACTCACAGTGACCCCATGTGACAGGGGAGACTTGTCCCAGAGGGTTTTCTACATTGTCATCTTTACAGGAACAATCTTCTCTTCCAAGGAGCTGCTGGATGGGCTCCAAACCAACAACCTTTCCGAAAACGCCTTTTTGCCAGAAGGTGAGGGTCGGTTGTCATGGAACTTCTGACAACACTATGAAGCTAAGAAAACAGGGTCCGCATGTCACCTGCAGACAAAAGGCTACCCGATTCCTGAAGAAAGTAGATGCCCTTCTCTCTGACATTCCCTCCATCCTGACGAAGGAGAAACATTTACAAGATCCAGCAACCCCCTCCACGTTGGCGCTCCACACCTGCAAACCAATCAGTCTGCTGGGCAGGAAAAGCTAGGCACTGCAAGCCCCCAGGGAGGGAGAAACGGGAGCCTCAAGTCCTGGTGTTTGGGAAAGCAAGGAGACCTCCCATAAGCCCAGAACCATCAGTGCAGACCCCGCTCCATTACTGCTATGTATTTTCCTTCCAGGCTAACACGTTGTCAAAATGGAAAGAACGTCAGCAGAACCAACACAAAGGTCGGCCATGGGAAGGAGCTGTGAGAGCTATCCCAGTCCCCAGCTCTCTTCCTGCACCTGACCACACAGCCTGGTCGCAGTGCTAGTGATCAGAACTGGAAAGAGAGCTTCTTCATTCTCAGCTGAATATGAGCTGAACAGTGGTGGTAGGACACCCCCAAGCTATTCAAAGAAAAACCACCAGAGGAAATGATTTCAAATCAGGCTTTGCAAGCATGTGATTTAAAAATAACTCTGCCTTTGTCTGCTATAGGTAACTTTCCCTAGAGGGACTGCTGTCCTTAAAGTGATCGCTCAATTCTCAGGGCAAACAGATTCTTATTTTCCCAGGAAAGTGCACCATCTCTGACAGCATCTGAAAGGCAAACCCTGGAGCAGTGGAAACACCTCCTGCCATCACTGCTGGCCTGGAAACATCAGGTACTGCATCTTAGATGATGGAGAAGGCCCTGCAGGTGCAGGTAGCAACACCATCTAAGAACTGCCCTCATTAAGGCGAACACCAATGATGAGATCACGCTATTCAACATACCTCAGAAGATGCATGCTGAAGAAAAGGCAGAAAACAAACGTCTAGTAAAATCATTCCATGATTATCGCCTGATTAGACTGATGGCTTCACTTTAGCAACAGTATAACCAAACCCGCTGCCACCGAGTCTACTCCAGTTCCTAGGATGGGCTACAACTGCTCTGCAGGACTTCTTTCTAAGGCTGTAAGCTTTCCAGGAGCAGACTGCCACATCTGTCTCCCACAGAACAGCTGGTGGGTTCCAACCGCCAAGCTCTGTGTTAGCAGCTGAGTGCTTAACCACTAGCACCAGCAAGGCTCCTTAGCTGCACGGCCATTAATATTCTACTTCCCAAAAAGCATGCCATAAAGTATTACAGATTTGGGGAAATGAAAGATCCATCTAGGTGACAGAATGCTGAGTTAAAAACACATTTTCCTGACCAAGTTAAAGTGGTTCTCAGCTGGGAGTGATATTCCCTTCCAGGGACATTGGTCTTGTCTGGAGACATTTTTACTTGTCACAACTGGGAATTAGGAGTCCTGGTGTGGTGCTGTGGGTTAAGCAAATACGTTTGAACTGCAAGGTCAGCAATTCAAGTTCACCAGCTGCTCCTCGGAAACCCTATACAGGGTCGCTATGGGCCGGAACCGACTTGATGGCACTTCACAACAACAACAACTGGCAATGATGGTATAAAGGTCAGGGAAGTTGCTAAACCTCATACAATGCACAAGACAGTTCCCCACAACCAACACCTATCCAGCTCAGAAGATCTATTGTGCCCAGGCTGAGAAACCTTGGTCCAGACTGAAATTGTACAATTCCCAGAATGCTTGGGGTTACATCTGTACTCCTCTCGTCCAAGGACTCAAGTTTCCTCAAACGTAACTTGGTCCTTCTATTCTGATCAGTACTGCCAGCTCTGTAGAATCATCTAGAACTTTCTCCACTACTCATTGAGCCCAGAGCCCCTAGATATTTTTTTTTCATGATCATCTTCATAATGATCCATATGATATGAACAACAGTCTTATTTTATCTGAGTCTAGTATCTAAAGAAAAGCTTTTTTTCCCCTTCCCTTTCTTGTTTAAAAAGGAAAATTATCGTGATGTTTCCATGATTAAGGGAAGACATTTAAATGAACAGATTACTTCTAGACTCCTATCCTCTTGGATCCTAGTATCTCTCCTCCATAACCCAATACAATGATATCCACTGAAACTCAGCAGTCCAGTGCAACAGGCCGGAATGGTGACTGGGACATTCTGAATTATAAAGAATGCTGAGCAAGGAGCTCTGGTAGCATAGTGGTTATGAATCGGGCTGTGAACCGTAAGGTCAGCAGTTGGAAACTACCAGCTGTTCCGCGGGAGAAAGATGAGGCTTTCTGCTCCCGTAAAGATTTACAGCCTCGGAAACCCTGTACAGGGTCGCTATGAGTCGGAACTGACTCCACGGCACATAACAATAACAACAACAAGCTGACCCAATGCCAATTATCAGCGGCATCTGACAAATGTTCATAAAAGAACGCTCAATTTTCCAAACCCCAATTCTTGACTCTCCATAGGAATAAAAATGTAGGGGCCCAATACTGGAATGTCTCTTTGGGAAGAAATACAGTATAACTCACATGTTACATGTGATTTGTTGATGTTAGTTTTCATAGAGTGAGCGCTGACTCAAAGCCACTTTATTTATAGCAAAACAAAACATTCCACCATGTTCGTTGCTATGAGTCCATTGTTGCAGCCAAAGGGTTTCTAGAGTGCCTTCCAAAACCATTGGGGGCTCATCTCCCAGCACTACCTTTTGTTGTGATCCAGAACATTTTCATTGGTTAATTTTCAGAAGATGATGGTCAAGCCTTTCTGTCTGTTTTAGACTGGAAACTCTGCTGAAACCTGTCCACCATGGGTGACCCCATTGGTATTTGAAATACCAGTAGCATAACACCATCACAGCAACATGCAACCCACCCTAGGATGGCAAACCAACATGCGGGTGATGGCTCCACCTGACAGGAACTTGATGATACTTGCTAACTGACTGGAAGTAGTTATTGTTAATACACCCCAATCCATTATCTACTGGGCATCATCTCTGGAGAGTTTCTGCAGAAGGAAAGTCTCCATCCTGTACCTAATTACTTTAAGATGGTATTTGAGAAAGACTGAAATGAAAGATGCAAGTTGACACAGATAGAACAGTGACCAGGACTCAAACACCTGTTCCTTTATACATATTATCACTTTTCATAACAATCCAACCATACAGGTCATCATGCTCGTTTTTCACAGAGGGAAACTGAGACACCAAGAGGTTATACCACTTCCTAAGGTCAGTTTCAGTCTGCACAGCACAACCAGTGAGGCACACCTGTGCCATCGCATTGGGGTACCACCCTCTTCTCCTCTGGTGGTTTTCCCAATTTCACTGCTCATCTTTTCCTTTGGAAAAATCAGAGACAATCTAAATAGCAGGACTTCAGGTTCCCACAAAGTAGTGTTTCCCAGAAGCTCATGCAGCCTCCCAGCATGGCCAAAGGCTAAGACTTAATTCTAGGGTAGCCAGTGGCCTTGAGTTCTAATTCCAAGTGGATTCAGAGAAGGGGGCAGCACTCAGGGATTGGAAAGGGAGAGTTTCCACTCCAACATCAAGATTTCAAGAATGGAGTCCCCTCTTCCTCCTTTGCGTCATTTCCCCTTCCATTTTAATATCATTTCGCTGTGTGCAGCACAGAGATTGGTACATGAGTGGAGGACACGGTATTCAGTAATCATCTCTAGTACAAGTCTCACGTTGGTCTGCTTTCTCTCTTCCCCTGCAGCTGAGGCCCTGAGCTTGGTGACCTTCCTCGCCCTTTATCTGGCTGAAGCTTTGTTCCTGGTTACCTGTGATGTTTTTTCCTGTTCATTTTGTGTTTATTTCGAGGTGTTACAGGCATGAGGGCAGAGCTGCCTCAACCTGTGTCTATATCTCAGCATTTACTAGTGACTTGTGAAGTACTGGTCATTTTAGATGATATTTTTGTGTGGTATTTCAACATCATTTACAGCCGACCTTGCAGGCCAGCAGGTTTTGGTTAAGGTGAGTTAAGATGAAACCAAGAAAAAAAACCTACAATTTGGTTTATACACAAAGCAGCAGGATAGAGGTGGAGCCTGGTGCTGAAAGAGGTTACGTCATACGTAATGTGAAAGCCTGCTTTTGATTAAATTCCTCAATGAAATCATACAACATAAAATAAAGCAGAAGTTATCTGCCCTTTACTCCAAACTCATTTTTTTTTTCCTTCAGGCCACAGATGAATGAATGTAGATAAACAAGGCTGCCTTCTAGAAAATCGACCCAAATGATCCAGCTAGATGCTACTATCCATGTGTTTTGGCACTGAGGAGCAGAGACAGGAAGTGATGTGGCCACTGCTTGGCTCAGTCACTAACTGTAGGGTGGCATTTATTCAGGGGCAGTCCTTGGATCAGCTGCATCACAATCCCCTAGACAGCTGGTTTCAAATGCATATTCCTGGGCCCTGGACCCAGACCTGAAAAGATCATAATTTCTGGGGCTAGAGTCATAGAATCTGCATTCTAACTGTCTCCTCAAGGGGCCTGCAAGCCCACTGGAGAATGAGAACTATCTTTGTGGATGAAAGCATTCCTCGTTTAGAATATATACTCATGGTATGTTCAAGCCTCCCAGAGTATGAGCACTTCTGTTACCTCCACCCTACCCCTCCCGTTCGCATTCCCTCTGCACCTGCAGGGAAAGCCTGCTGAGGGATTACCTGGTCTGATGGGGCTCTGCATGCAGTTGGGGGACGGGAGGCCGGGGTGAATGGGTACGGAAGCCCGACTGCTGAGGTCCACAACGGAAGGGGCAGCGGAGGAAGCCTGCTGCAGCCCGGGTGGGTGAGGGCTGTGGTCGTGCTGAGACGGGCTGGGGGGAATGCCATTTTCGGACAGAAACTCCTCCAGGTCCATGTATTCCAATTGGAAAGTATCTCCGTCATAGGGAAGGGTTCTGTCCCATAAGGTGGGCCCCAAGAACGCCGACTGGGGGACTGTCGGGCTGTTACTGTCATCATCCAGCTTCTTCTCCTTGTCTTTCTCTTTGCTAAATGCTGCAGGAGAAGGGGAAAGTTGGACTTTAAAAAAAAAAACAAAACAAGAAAGACGGAAAAGAAAGAGTGTTGCTTTTAACAGCCCTCTTGGCCTGTGCTACCACACTGCTTCAGAACTTTTCCTCTTCTCACAGACACTGGGTCTTTCTGTGGCTACTGTCCTCTGTGGATTCAGAGTTAAAAGTTCAGGCAAGACATGGATCTCTGCCTGGTTTTCAACATCTCCCTATTTACTTTGGAAAGAAAGCGCCAGCCCTTGGGAAAGAGCTACAGACCCATCTAGGATAAAAACAACACAACAGAGCTCACGGAAACAGTCTGCAGCGCATTCTTGGAGCAGATAACTAATCCCAGCCTGAAGTGGGAAGACAACACCTAGGACTACATACAACTGCTATAATTTTAAAGAAAACAGCCAACTACCAGCCATCATGTATCTTCACATGTCACTGACAATACTGGACCATTCAGACTATAAAACAATTGTCTTGGTGATCTTAATTTTGGAAAAGCAGGGACTCTCCACTTTTCTTTAAACAAAGTATTAAAGAAATGGAGGCTCTGAGATTTGAAGGCACTTGATCCATGTTGGCTGAGAAGAAAAAATGAGTGCTTCTGAACCCCCATGTGTTTGCTCCTACAACCAATGGGGCACATCGCTTTACACAAAAGCAATTTTAAAAATACGAAGTGCTTTTCTTCCTCCTCTCCCCCAAGCACTTTTTAAGTAGGATCCAATTTACAAAAATTAGATGTCTATGCAATCTGTCAAATACAGAGCTACTGGAAAAGATGAGGTATTCTACATAATACTCTACATATGGAAGTATGTGGCTGTTTCCTACCTGGAAAATATTGTCACCTGATTACATCTCTAAAAGATGCTCTGGATTTTGCCAGTTTACTCTGGATTTTGCCAGTTTACTCAGGCGCTGGTGTAATTTGGGATTAAAGACTTCTGATTTTCTTCCTCTTCTTCCCCAGCGCCACCCATTCCAACCTGCTACAGTCTCATCTCTCTGGGGAATCTGATTTAAAACACCCACAGATGCAAAAGTCTGCAGGCGGCCCCTTCCTCCCAAGGTGCTATTCTTGAGGGAGAGTTAAGGGAGGGAAGCGATGAGCTGCAGACTGCAACCAAACCTCTCAGCTCCTGCAAAGCAACAGGTTGCCCCTAGGACAGGAGTACTCCAAAGCTCTTTCTGGCCAAGAAATCTTTCAAGACTTTACAATCTGAGCCGCATGTTCCTATTTTCTGCTGATACCGAAAGCATGAAACTGCATCAGCCCAAATGACAAATGCGTGAGAGCACCAGTTCAGCCTGGCACCTCCTGGCACGGCACGCATTCCTCCTCTCCCGCTAGAGTGAAGATTGCCTGGGGAAGGTTCGGGACTTACCAAGAAATGGCTCAAGCCAGAGGGGGCTCCAGCGTGTTTACACGCGAGCCAGCTAGATTCACCCCTCCTACCAAGAAGAGTGAACTGGGAAAGTGTCAGCGCCGGAGGCGTGCACTGCAAGCCAGGACACCGGTTACCCGCCCCCCGCCCCAGTCCCAGCCCCCACCTCCTTTCTGAATTACCCTCTTGGGGCGGGGGTCCTCAGCTCACACCTCCTGAGTTCCAAATACAAACTGATAAGAGAAGCAATAACATAATCCCAATACCCAGGTTACGCAGTGAGACACCCCCACCCCACCCACCCAAGGCACTGTATCCAGCCCATTCCCGGGCAGCACCGGGCTCCCAGGTTTCTCTGAGCCCCAGTCTTGCTCTGCATGCAGGTAAGCCTAGGAAGGGGCAATCCTGACCTGCCAAGTTACACCTCCACCTGCGCTGCAGAAGCGGAAACCAGAGAGACCCACAGCGCTATCTCAAATGTTGCAGAGTAAAGGGATCTGGGGGGCAGGGAGGGTGGGAGGCGGGTGCTTCCGCGGGCCCACGGGGTGCCCAGCGCTCACCGTCCTGGTGATGAAGGGGGAGCTTCAGCGGGTTCTCCAGCAGGGATCTGAGGACACCGTAGGGAGGCGGGATAAAGGTGGGATTCAGGGGGAGCGCTCGGGACATTTTCTCCATCGCGATGCACTCTGGTTTGTTTGTTTGTTTTTCTTTAAAAGAAAGAAAAAAAAGCCACCAAAAAAACCCCCAAAACCCAATCGCCCCCCAAAATGTTGCTGAGCTGTGTCCTCCGTTCTTTACCAAAAGTATTCGTTTTCAAGGCGGTGGAAACAAGGAGAGAAAAAATCACTTATATCTTTATAAATACATCTGCATAAAAATTTAAAGAGAGAAAGCAAGAAAAAAAAATAATAACTTTCGGGTTCCTGGTGCAGAAGGTCCCCGGAGAGCGCGCCAAGTGCCCCCGGGGTCCTCGGCGACGTGCAGGATGCTGCCACCTGCCCCGGACCCCGAGTCTCGCAAAAATGTTCAAAATTGCGAAAGAGAAAGACAACACTGTCGAGGGTTGCAGAAGGGCAGCAGGCACCGCGCCCGCCCGCCCGCCG